AGAAACTAAGTCAATAGCATCTGAACAACAGATGAGAATTAAAGCAAAATCTGTTGGCTAATGGTAACAGCTTTTGTGTTCTTTGTTGCTGAAAGCGTGCATATAGCAGTAACTCCAATATGCTCACCAGCTCGGATGCAAAAGGCTATGGAAAACACTTGCTATTTTTATCCCAAAGATAAAATCTAACCCTACCTCTCAGCTCTTAATTTTGCTAGAGTAGTGAAAGGGAGCAAGAGCCAAGTGCTGTGGGTCTGGAGAATCCAGGGCCTGTGGCTCCTACTCTGTGGAAATAGGGAGCGTACTGGGAAGAAGGAAAGAGATAGCCCCGTACTGGACAAGAAACACCTGGAGCCATGTAACAAAAAATACAGTCAGGATTTAACTTGACGACAATCTCAGAAACAGGCCGTGTGAGTCTCTGAGAGTTTTCATATTTACAGATTACTGCAGTTAAATCATGTTTATAGTTTTTTCTTTAATATCCCAAAGAGGAAACTTGTCCTTATAAATTATCATGGCATTGTAAAAGCAGTAATAATACTTATGATAATGACTGTGCTGGTTTCGTTGATACTGTAAGCAATTAGTCCAATCTTAGTGGCTTGAATAACACGTACGGATGAAAATTAAGGGGCTAGCCAGAGGACATCATTTCCTTGTTCTTCCCAGCGTACACAGGCTGCTCATTTCCTGGGCTCATTTCCCCCTCTTCCACTTTCACAGCAAGCATGCTGCATCTCTTTGCACCATGCTTCCTTGTCTTCCACTTAGGCTTGTAAGGCCCTGTGACTCTACTGGGCTCACGGAGGAAACTCAGGACAGCGGCCTTATCTCCGGGTGGCAGAGCTGCCGTCCTCCTGCCTTCTGCAACCTTAATTCTCCCTTGTCAAATGACACATATACAGATGCTGTGGAATATTTAGGGACATTTTGTTCATTACTGAATGTATATTACCTGTGAAACATACTTCTAAGTAGATTATATAATTAATCAAATATATTTTCCACTGTGGTAGTAGAGCCAATTAATATTTTTAGTTTTCAGAAGAAGAAACTAAAATGAAGAGATTAGTTTGCTTAATATTCCCTAGCTGGAGCGTGCAGGGGCTGAGATTTAGATCAGAAGTCCTCATGCGGAGCCTGAACTTGCAACCATTCAACTCCATAGCTTCACAGACAAAATTCTCACATGATTTACTGTCATAATTATTGCCAACATGCTTACATTACAGACTACGACTTCCTTTACTAGAAATATTCTATGTATTTATTCACCTTAGTGTATGCATGCGTACATAGATGCTGTCCATTCATGAGTGTATGTGTATTCACGCAGGCATGTGTGCATACGTATGTGAGAGTGAGTGTGTAAATGTGTGTGCACATATGGGAAAGCCCAAAGTTGAAGCTGAGTTTTTCCTTGATTGCTCTTCACCTTGCACATAGAGACAGGGTCTCTCAGTTGAACCCAGAATGTGCTAATTTGATTCGTCTAACGAGCCAGCTTACACTGAAGATCCTGTCACTCCCAGGGATCATAGGAGGGCTACCCTGTTGTGCACTGGAGTATTTGCTTACTCAAGCAAATATGTGTTACATTTGGTTGTGCTGGAGAATAAGTGTTTAACTATGTAAAGATGTGTTGCTGTTTCATCCTGCCTGCCTAAGGTACCTGATTGGTCTAATAAAAAGCCAAAAGACCAATAGGTAGGCCATGGAGATATAGATGGGGTTTGTGGGCAGAGAGAAAAGGAAAGCCAGCCAACTAGGGCCAGCCAGGCATTCACAGAGGAATGGATAGCAGGATGGCAGGATGGACAGTGTGTAGGTGAGGTAAAGAAGCCTCGGGGTAGCACAGAGATGAACAGAAATGGGTTAATTGATGTAAAAGAAAAAGCTAGAAACAGGTATAAGATGAATCTGAACATTCATAATTGACAATAAGATTCTGTGTCTTGATTTGGGAGCTAGTTGGCAGTTCAAGAAAGTCTGCTACACTACCTGCCCAGGGTTTGTGTGTATTCCGAGGATTTTAATTCTGACTTTCATATTGGCATACAAGCCATAGCCATCTCCCTAGCATGAACCGCTTACGGCATCTGATGAGAATAATAATGATACCTGGGCTCCAAACTTTAAGGTGACAAAGGAAGGGCAATTATCTAGATGGCCCAGACGGGAGAGTCACTCACTATAGTCTAGCCTAGAGTCACGCTGAGCAGAAAAGGCACTGCCTTAGACTGGGCCCCTGAAGTGCACTAAAACCAGAACGTGGCCACTTGGATACATATTACAAGATCATAATGGACAAGTTTTTAAAATATCAGGAGGTTCGCAGTAAGCAATCAGTAGCAGTCCTGTCACCTTGAGACACAATGGTGAAGAAGTCTTTTCTCCAGTCACTCTGGAAGAAAGCTGCTTGCAGTAGCCACTCCACTTTGCGGTCCCTGCTTTTGCTCTCTTCATTCCTTCCCTGTTTATGGAGCCCACCCCTTCTGCTTAGCTTGTCCGTATGTCTTTCTTCTGTCGGTGAGATTCACAAATCAAAACAAAAGATTTGATCTTTAAATTTGAAATCTTTTTTCTTTATTATTATCCAATGATTTCTAGGGTATTAGACCTGCTAGAGTAATGAGAATGGCTCCCACAGACTCACACGTTTGAATGTTTTGTTTCTAGTTGGTAGAATTCTTAAAAGATTAGGAGGTGTGGCCCCGTTAGAGGAGATGTGTAACTGGGGGTGGCCTTTGAGGTTTCAAAAGAAGCCTGCCATTCTTAGTGCTCTCTCTGCTTCCTGATTGTAGTTTTAATATGTGAGGTCTCGGCTCTTCCCGCCGCCATGCCTTTCTTCCACTGCCATGGACTCTAACTCTTTGAAGTCTAATTAAACACTTTTTTTTAATACGTTGTCTTGGTGCTGGTGTTTTATCACAGCAATAGAAAAGTAACTAATAGAGGTAACCTCAGCAAGGCTGCACAGCAGCTCTTATTACAATGTGTCCAGAGGCAAAGTTGCTACTGAGACTTTAAGGCACATACTGGAAGCAGCATTACTGGAACACTGGCTGTGTAATGGGATGCTCAGAGCTGGCCCTACTATAGTTTTTTTTTGTTTTTTTTTTTTTTTTTTTTTGGTTTTTCGAGACAGGGTTTCTCTGTACCTTTGGTGCCTGTCCTGGAACTAGCTCTTGTAGACCAGGCTGGTCTCGAATTCAAAGAGATCCGCCTGCTTCTGCTTCCCGAGTGCTGGGATTAAAGGCGTGCGCCACCACCGCCCGGCTGCCCTACTATTTTTGTCCTTTAAATGTCATTTTGTTGTTCTAAGGCTCTCTCTCTCCACACACACACACACACACACACACACACACACACACACACACACACACACGTGTGGAAGAAGGAAGAAAACAGGAAGGGAGGGAAGGAAAGAAGGAATAAGAGAACTGAATTGTCTTTTCTATCTAAAATTATTAGTTGAAGATTTCACACTGAGAACAACTGGTATCCCCCAGCGTGTTTAAGAGACAGATACTCCAAGGGTTTTATACAATTTGCTTAAATACGTCATTTGTCATCCGTAGCAAAGAAGGATGGAGACTGGTAGTCTTGACAGGGAATTATAGAAATAGAGTCATGGAATGGGTACCTCTACCTTACTTCCTGCCCCAACCCACTTCCCCTCCTGCCTAAAAGAAGAAAAAGGGTACAAGAAAATCCTAGAATTAGGAAGTGACTTTGTAAACTCTTCTGCTTCGTGAGCAGCAAAAATTTTCTGGTCTTCTCCCTTGACCGAAGCATGACAGCATGCTTGAGGGAGTCTGGCATGTCCTAGGGAGGAAGGCAAACTGGTGCCCTAGAGAAGTCTTGGGGAGCAAGGCTAGTATGATATCCATGGGGTAGGGGGCAGGGAAGAAATGGGAGCAACTGCACTTGAGTGATGTTGGAGGGGTAAGGACGGGTGATGGTAGAAGGCTGGGCAGGTGCTGCTGTAGCAACCACAGAGTTAAGCTTTCTCTGGCTCCATCTAAGAAGTCTAAGGAGATGATGATGGTGATGATGGTGTTGATGACGTCACTGCCGCTGTGCCGCTGATGCTCAGGTCACTGACTTCTCTCACCATCTAAAAAGCTTGGATAAGTGGACTCTACGCACACTACCCAAGGTAAGCGATCCTCAGCAAGTCAGCCATGGAAATGAGTTCCACCAGCAGCCACTGTTATACTAACAGGCTTGCTCCTGAACAGTCCACAGAGGTGTTCATGAAGGAGCCCTAAGCCAGTTAAAACCTCCTCCTTCCCCTGCACATGGCTCCACAGACAGGGAAGTTATGCCCGGGGACAAGGTATATTCTAGTTACATGGAACTAGCGGTGCAAGCCTCTGACCAAATGACCAGAAATCAGTCAGATCACTGGGAAACCGGAATGAGGAGAGATAGCTTCTGCAGAGTGTTATTCTGACTGTGTGCTGCTTAGTGCTTTGGCTGCCGAATCTACCACACACGGCATCTCATCTTCCAGGCCCACGGGGCCCCACAGGGAGGAATGATGCTAGCCTCAGTCTGAAAGAAGTAGAAGGGAGGTGTGTGAGACCTTATGACTGAGATGTGGAAGGTCAGGGATTGAGCCCAGGATCATATGGCCCTCATTGCAGGGTCACCTCTACTGCATCAGAAGCCACAGGATGAGATATAAGCTAGTCTTTTGTTTTCACCGTGCACAGGGACACTCAGAGAACACTTCCTCTGCCCTACTTGGCACTGGCCTCTTAACAACAAGCTTACGACCGCTGCCCGTCATCATCACAATCTTCTGGGGACACCCAAAAGGCTTTTTGTGCTTCCTTTGCAAAAAATAAAAATAAAAACCAGAGTCATAGCCTTGATTTTTATGAGTATAGCTGAAGATGAGAGGACACTCGATCCTTTTTCAGAACATACACAAAGGAGTGATTTAGCTGGGAGAAGCAAAGCCAAGGACTTGTGCAGCCGGCCCTTACCTCAGCATGGCACCGAATCCCTTCCTCTTCATTTTCCTCTCTGGATCTTCACTCTCCTCTTTCTGCTTTTTTTCCTTGATTTTCAGCTTGCCCTTTCCCTTTTTCTTCTCCTTCTCCTTTGGCTTTTTGACTTTCCTGCCTTTATTTTCCATATTGTCTAGTTCGGGGTTTCCCTGAGTGGCAGACTCACAATTCAGAGCTCCGTGGCCAGAGTGTGAGCTCTTATCAGAAAGACCGTCTGTAGAGAGAAAAGCTACTGTCAGTGGTCAGGGGTCCTTATGGTTAGGGTGTATGTATCTTATCAGAGAGACCGTCTGTAGAGAGAAAAGCTACTGTCAGTGGTCAGGGGTCCTTATGGTTAGGGTGTATGTATCTTATCAGAGAGACCATCTGTAGAGAGAAAAGCCACTATCAGTGGTCAGGGTATATATATATCAAAATGTAAAATGCAGAGGGACGAATAGAAGTGCTCAGTGTTCTACCTGACCACGTGGCTACTTGCACCCTTTGAAGTAGGACTTCCCAGTCCTGGGCACTTCAATTAATCTTTGAGGCTAGGAGTGGGGCACACTGGGTGCTGGCTGGTAGCACAAAAGGCTTGAAATGGGGTGAAGCGCTAATCTCCCCGGAAGCTGGCTGGTTAACCTCCATCAGCTCCAGAAGCCCACACGCTGGGAAACAAACAGGGTGAGTTTTCTTCCAAGAGAGGTTTTTTTGAGTATAAATATAGCCCACTGCTTCTGTGCAATTAATGCAGACAGTCCTCTGGTTGATGTTGCTTTTAATGATTCAAATAAGAATGCCAAGAAATGCATGCTTAGTGCTCCTGCCCTAAGGGTAAATGGCAGTTGGTCCTTTTAGGGACATGAATGAGAACATTTTTTTTTTTCAGTTTGCACTGTGATAAAAATTGCACATTGCATTCTCCAATCCCATGTTCGTTAAGCCAAAGGGCAAAACATATCGGGAAAATGAATTACTTTTAATATCAAAAATATAATTGTGATCCTTAAATCATTTTTTTCAGTAGTTAGTGCAATTCTCACTGATGACTTGCAGATGCTAATGAGAAGGACCCACTGGAGGGGGCATAGGGTCCTACCAGCTTCTGCCTCCTCGGGCCCATCGTAAGATTTGTCGATGGCCGCTCTGAAGCTCTCGTTGCAGCCCCGGCCTCGCACCATGTGTGGTCTGGGCCTGTGGAAGGGCAGATCACTCTTCCTGACTTCAGCCACCGCTGTCTGCAGACTCTCCAAGGAACTGGACTTTTTCAAACCCAGAGTTGGACCAAAATCTTTGCTTGGAGGGTCTGGAAGAAAAAGGGTGAAAGGTCAGCCCTCCAGCAGTGCACTACAGTGGAAATACATGTTATTCTGAGACTGTTTCTTCCCGGGAAGCTTCAAAAAGAGGGTGTTAGATTAGTAAACCTTGGAGGCTAAACTCCAGCTTGGCCATTAGTTTTGGTCATCTTGGGGAAAGGGAATGGATTGACATCTCTGAACCTCAGTTTCTTTTTGTACAGCTCTGGTAAGCTTTTAGATGGCATTATTCAAATCTGTTTAACACATGGAATTTTATATGCATATATATATATACACACATAGGTATGCATACATTTGAATTTGAGAAGTTACTATCTACAGATAACATGTTTGAGAATATACACACCCATGTGCACACATATGGATAGAGAGTTACTATCTACAGATAACATGTTTGAGAATATACACACCCATGTGCACACATATGAACAGAGAGTTACTATCTACAGATAACATGTTTGAGAATATACACACCCATTTGCACACATATGAACAGAGAGTTACTATCTACAGATAACATGTTTGAGAATATACACACCCATGTGCACACATATGAACAGAGAGTTACTATCTACAGATAACATGTTTGAGAATATACACACCCATGTGCACACATATGGACAGAGAGTTACTATCTACAGATAACATGTTTGAGAATATACACACCCATGTGCACACATATGGACAGAGAGGCAGACAAACTCTATAGAGACCAGAATGGCCTTGAACTCACAGAGATTTGCCTCTGGAATCGCGAGGACCCAGGCGCTCCTCACCACTCCCAGCCAGAGGCACACAAGCTCACAATGAACCTAGCACAGTAAGTGTTCCCTCCGTGAGCTCAGCCTTGCCCTCTCATCCTCTGTACCTGGAATTACTGCCAGAGTTGTTTATGTGATTGGCCTAGAAATCAAGGACCATGAGTGGTAGGATTTTCATAATTAAATTCTTTACATTATCCTAAAGATGCTTAATGCATGGCGGATGAAATTTATTTAGTCTGCAAATAAAGCAAAGCAAGCAAGGAAAGAGATCCTCCCCGTGCTGCTGCTGCAGGTGGATTTCAGTGTGGACCCCAGAAAAGTGCCTCTTTTGAATGTTATTTTTTGTGGGTCTGAACTTTTAATATAATTTTGTTGTTAAAATACTCAGAGGCTTCATACAGCAAGTGTTGACTCCAGCTTCTTCGTAAAGAATAGAAAAATCACAAGAAGACAGTGGCTTTACTCTTTTAGTTAAACAAAACAACCTATCAAAGAGCCAGTTGTGTACAAAGAAAACCTAGAACTACAACAGAAATTCAGAAAGCCACATTCAGAGACACATGGTTTGTATCATTACAAACTAACAAGTGCAGAGCAGAGAAGTAGAACCCAAGGAGCCTTTGGTGCTTGCTGTCTTCTTGGACAGTTTGCCTTGCCCTTGGCCTGCCCTACTCCACTCTACTCCTTGACCTCCACTCTTGCTTGAGCTACTCTCCTTATCGTCAATGACAAGATTAAGTGATAGACATATTAGTAGCCAATTGGCCACTCAAAAGATAGAAAGGATTCCATTAAAGCTTTTGTCTTGGCAGTCAAGCTGTTCTCCCTGGCCTCACTGCTTCCCTCCAGGAACCAGGAAGACTTTGCACCAAGAGTGGCACCACCAGAAATGATGGATTCCGCAGATTGTCCATGCATGGGGCATGAGCATGTACGGAGCATTGTGTATGTAGCGACTTCAATGCACGCCACACCCTAAGGCATTTAAAGATGAAAACAAGTAACACACTAAAGTGACACCCTTCACTCCCCACTGGGCACTGAGCAGAGGCAGTCCAATTGCAGCTCTGTGCCACCCACTTTTCACAACCTAAGATGGCAGCTGCCATTTACTTGATTATGGTTTCCTCATCTCTGAAATGGGACTTTTAGTCTAGACGAGCCCTGGAGCCCACCCAGCTGAGCCAGCACACTGTGACAACTGCATTATTGCCTTATGGCTTCACCATTAACTTACAAGAAGCAGCCTCACACTGTGAACAATACACACGACGACAATAAACACCGCATTTTATAGATGACAGTGCATATTTAATAAAAGAAACTGAGAAGAAACCGACAAAAATACAAGGAAATTCAGGAACAAATTGCAGGTGCTATTTGCAAGCATAAATACCAAGGCCACACTTCTGTTAAATCCAGAAAAAGGCACTTTCCCCCAATTCACAGCAAGGAAGGATAGCTGGGGAAAAAATAGAATCAAGTAAGACCATTTCTGACAAGAAAAACAAGAGATAACATAGAGGTGTGGGAATATTGAAACAACAGAAAGAGCTTTAGGATTTACAAAAAATATTTTTTAGCCTCAATCCCTAGGGATGTCTGGCATAAAACTTGGTGAAAATATGAAAAAAAAGAGCTAACTGAGAAAGCCTAGATCTCTGTCAACAACAGCAGCCATCTTTTATTTATTAATTGCCACTCGGGAGATTATATTAGAGCCCAAACTGTAAGCATTCACATCAACCTTTAGCAATAAATTCCAGGGAACTTGAAAGTGAATAAATCATCGGAGATATGAGGCATGTTATCTAAAAAGAGCCTGCCTACATCTCAGGAAGAAGTTCTGAGCAGGAACAAATGCACAGCCACTGATTCTAAGAGAACAGGGGAAAAGAGTCAAGGATTTTATAAGATTGGCAGAGCTGACAATTGATGAGCATGTGCCTGTGTGCGTGCATGCATGTGCTTCCTGATGGGGAAACTGCACCTAAGACTCATAGGGTCTGGATGCTGGGCACCATTAGACCCTAAGAAGCATAGTAGAACAAAAATCAAAAGGTAAGGCTCACTTCTGGACCTTTACTTTGAGAGAGACCAGGGTTCTCCTCTTGGAAAAAAATAATTCTATTCATTCCTAGGAGTAATCAGAAGGAAGTAATGGAAGAGACACTGATCTTAGCTTTTTGAGCCCTCAAACTAGAAAGTCCCCTTTAAGGAGCTGCAGATGCTCTGACCCAGGCTGGATCTTCTGAAGCTGGGGGACTTTGCCATAAATCACCAGACCCCTGTGTATCCTTCGCACTAGGTCAGGGTTACCAGCCTGGGAGGTGTCAGCTGGTGAGTGTCAGCACTAAGACCCACCGAATCTCTTGGAGGGAAGTGCCCTATCAGGAGGAGCTTTTTGGAGCAGGAGGGGCCAAAGTCCCTCTTCCCCACCCCTAGCCTCACCAATGTGGGTTTAGACTGACAATGTACAGGAAATTTTACAGCTTTCGGGATGAGCTGGTTCCCACTCTATTTCAGGCCTCACCATTTACACACAGAGATGAAATTCCTTTTCCCAGGCTCCTTCGAAAAGTAGAGGTCTCCTTGAATATAAAATGAGCAATTTATCAAAATCAAAACCTCAGCTATTGAAACCCATTGAAGTCACCCCCAAATGTGATGACTCTTCACATTTTCCTTTGTGGTTGAAGCGATGGAGGCTGTGGCCGATTATAAGCAATTGTCTGGGCCAGTGATCTATGGATACCAGGTGTTATTCATCATGGAATGGACCTTGTCCAGATTTGAACACTTGCTGTCCCATTTTGAGTATTCACAGAAGTAATTTGTAGTTGAGTGTTTGACGATTTCCTGGCCATCTTGGGCTAGTTGCAAATGCCAATCTTTACAGCAAAGTTTTCATTTTTCAGACTTCTCTATCAGGTGGCCATGGTCTTTAGGTTTTTATGAACTTTCTGTTCCCTCACAAACATGAACTTGACACATATGGACATCATGAAGGAAATGAGAGATTTATGAGGAATATTAAAAGAAAGCGTTTAGTTAATAAAAATAATTACTGGGAAGTTATAATAAAATATTCTGAACACATTCACTTGCATTCTTCCCCCCAAAAAATACAGAATCAAAACAACCTCAAACTAAAACCAGATAGAGTCATCAAGATGAACAGCTGTTTATGTCTACACAAGGCAGTTACATTACACCATCTAAGGCCCAGGGAATGGCCAAGTGGGGGTAATGTAACAGCCGTAGGTTATGGTAAATGGCTGTGAGCTGTTATCTGAGAAAGACATGGCCACTGTACTCACGACCTCACAGAAGCTATGGATATTTGCACTGGGTGTGTATAAGGATGGATCAGGGGCTTTCACTCTTACTACTGAGCTATTTGTTACTCCTAGGCTCTGGAAAAGGGGAGTCACTAGCCTTCAGCTTTGTACCCACTGATGACCACACTAGGTTCTAGTGGATAGTTTGGGCACAGTGGTCACACAGAGGGCCTTGATTAAACTAAACGGGTCACAAAACAAGCAAGAGTCAGGAGGTGGGGAAGGAAAATGGTAAGGGTAAGAATTTGGTAGGGACAAGGGGATGTAGAAGACAGTGTGGGAGAGCAATCAGAATACATTCTATACATGCATAAAATATTGAAATAACACAACTAACCAATAATTTATATGTAGTAAAATAAAAAGGAAACATATTTGAAGAAGCTGTGCAGTCATTTTTCTCATAAAGAAGTGCTGCCGCTCAGTGAAGAACCATCTGTAGAGTTTAGTTCTCTGACCAGCTGCTTGCAGGAAAACAGCAGGCCTCACCTACAGAGCAGGTGAAGGATCCGCGACACAAAGGCATTTGACCTTTCTTTATTATTAAAGTGTGTGGGGGCACGGATTAAAGGACTGATTTGGAGGCCAAATGACCTAATATAAGTGGCAAACATTCCTACCTAGAAAATTAGATCCCTGAATTCCACCTAACCTTTCTTGGCCTTGCCGAAGTTGTATTCTCAGCTCAGAGAAACAGTCAGTGCTTAGGGTAGAGCTAGAGGAAGAGGCAGGTGGGGGGAGTCAAGACACGTGGATGCCCTCCCTGGATTCAGTGCTATGAGGTTCAAGTTTTACTGCTCAGATAGAGAAGCAACATTCCAAAACAGATTCTTCAAACTTGGAGAATCTTTTACTCTAGCTTCCTAGGTAGAGACCCCCATG